GTGTCATCGAAATCATCAAGATAGACAACGGTAGTATAGCTGTCTCCACTCCGATCCATAGAATTCGAAGAGATAATGGATATGGATTTCCACTAATAATCACTGATATTGCAATACAAAGTAAACCTGGTGATCCAATTGCACACAATAAACCAATATTAATCACAATCCGTCGAATAGCAGTTAAATCACGTTCTTGTCTTCGTTTTACTATCATTGTGACTTGATTTGATTGTTGACGGATAAAATAAATAGTACGAATATAAAACAATAATGAACATACAACAGGAATACTATAGATACTAAGAGTAGGCCAAAGTACACCGCGACTATTTGTTAGGGAAACAAAACAATAATGTTCATTTGATAAATAAATGATATCATGCCAGATCAAAAGTGGACTTTGGAGAATAATCGATATTATTAACTGAATAGGTGCTGCTATGACATAAACCCAAACACGTTGAAACCCTCGATATTTTGAATAGACAATACGAACAAGACGAAATAAAGCCTGAAAATGAAGAAAACAATCATTCTTGTTCTAAAAGACTACTTCTCGCACCTGAACAACAAAACCTAGAAACAATCCACAAGCTGTAATAAAATATAGACATCCATGTATTGTGCACCAGGATGAATTGAAATCTTTTCCGTAGACATCGCCGATTAATGATTGAATATTGAATAAAACTAATGTCATTAAATAAGTGGTCATAAAGAAGTAGACGTTAGCATGAATTAGAAGAATAATTTGATCTTCCTGTTTCATACGACTACGATGATGATAGAGTTGCCAAAAAATAACAATCACGACCGCAAAAGAGATGACACAGGCGGTCGATCCATGGATTAGTGAAATGAGTGTTATTATATAACCAGCTAGTCCATAACCATAATCAATCATTGGGAAGTATACCAAGCGGAGAAACGTATTGAGTTGAACCACAGTCTAAAGAAATAAGTGAAAAGATGAATTTTTTTTCAATAACTCGTGTAGTTTCCCTCGAAGATTTTCTTTCTAACTCCCTTTCAAAACCATCTGATGTTTAAATTTCCGGTAACATTGATATCTCTGCGAATGCAATCTCCTATAGTTTCAATAAAAATATGAAAAGTATGTAGCAGAGCAAAAAATGTCAAACAAAATCGTGATATTAAACAAAACTAATTCTTTCTTATTAGCTAATTCAATAATTTCTTTTGAAGAAATGTAGTCTCTAGAGAAAAAATTACACTCTTCATTTCTTTTTACCTTAGATAAATTTGTTTGTTAAGCTTAAGGAGGTGGTGGCAAAATCTGAATTGGTACCAGTTTTGAGTAACTTCCTTATTTCTGATTTCTGGTTTTTACTTACTCGCACCATATATTTATAATACACCATCAGAAAAGAAGAAAACGGAAGTCGATGACACCTCAACGGATTTCGATGATACCTCAACTTAAACAAAAAAAAATGCAAAAGCAGAAATCAGAAATCTACTCGCACCATATATTTATAATACACCATCAGAAAAGAAGAAAACGGAAGTCGATGACACCTCAACTTAAACAAAAAAAATGCAAAAGCAGAAATCAGAAATCTACTCGCACCATATATTTATAATACACCATCAGAAAAGAAGAAAACGGAAGTCGATGACACCTCAACGGATTTCGATGACAT